ATGTTGTTGTTGTTGTAAGTTTTACAGGGCGCCAACAAGATTTGGATTTTTCTAAACCCGAAGCCAAACAAATTTGGACTAGGCATTAATTGAATTAACTTTCTGCCTTAACACAGCTCTTGATTTTTTTCCATTCATAAAATGTCCAGAAATTTCGAGACATTCCCACTTGCAGTGTTTAATTTAGTGATTAATTAATCAATTTGTGTCAGTTCACGGGAAGAAAATGAAATGGCTTTCGATGGAATTACTGAGCGTGCGAGGATATTGAAAATTGGATTATGTCCATAGAAAATCCATACAGTTTCATGTCTCTGAGGTAAAAATGTCCAATAAATTGGGTCAAAAAAAGCCAACTGAATTTAAAAAAATGAATAAAGTGGTTGCTTTTGAGGACTGATTTTGCCAAGTTCTATACCTGAATCATATGCACATTCTTTATATAAAACTCTCCAATTGCTAGTTTCAGTATTTAGGCTCTCAGTCCAGTTTTCGCGGTCGCTCTTTTCCAAGCGAGTAACCGACTTTGACCATAGACCAACTGTTTTTGTAATTAAGCAACAAAAAGCTGCAAAAATTGCGTATAGTGGTTTAAGTTCCTTCAGTTGAAAGTCGGCTTTTTTAGAACTACTACCAACTGCAACAAAAATGTATACATAAATCTCTTGTAAAAATCTATAGAATTTCGTACAAATTTTTATTAGTTAAAACAGCAACCGCTAAAATAATTTTTAGGCATTCCAGTTTTTTTCCCAAAGCGATTTGAATGAACATATAATAACCAATTTAATGTGTTGCTCGTTTGCAGTGAATGATGGCAAAGTTAAAGGTTAATTTACAGTGATTAAATGCCGCTATATATCTTGCTGACATGACAAAAATGAAATGTTTCCGACTGTTGTTGGTTCTCATTCAGACGACACAAAACGGCCAATCAGAAAGATTTATTTGGTCTTTAGAGCCGAGATAGATGACGGAATTAAAGCACGCCAACAACGTAAAATATTCTTTTATATAATTCATAAAATGTTGTTTAAGTCTCAACAAAGGAACAGCAAGCTAAAATAAGACACAGTGTAATTTTATAATACAGACTTAACCAATCGAAGCACAATTATTTAGAGATGCATTTTGGCGGAAATGCAAACTTTAATTAAAATCTACATTATCTCCTGTAGGCCAAGTAACAGCAAGATTTTTGGCAAAATCTGTTTGAAGCTGGCAAAGACTTTTATACAATTTTGCGAATCGCACCAGTTACACATTTTTGGAAACTGTTTTTTTTTTGCTTTTTTGTTTTGTTTCTAACTCAAGCCTCTCAAGATTTTTCAATTCTAATCTATAACAAGTAGTGACATTCATTTCTAACAGCCTATAGACGACACTTGGTAGGAAAGACCCTTAAAAGATCAATGAATTAGCACCAAATTCGGATTTTTTTTAATTTCGTAAGCTGTGGTTTGAAAATTAAAGTTTTCTTCCAACTGTAGGCTCTCTATTAAATATTTTAATTTATAATATGCGGCAAGTAGAGACTTCAATTTTTAACACTCTATAGAAAATAATCGGTAGGAAACACACTTAAAAGATCAATAGATTTGCATTAAATTAGGATTTTTCTTAAATTCATAAGTTGGAAGGTTTGAAAATTAACGTTCTCTTCCAACTAGAGACTAACTTAACATTTTAAATTTCTTATCAGGAGCAGGTGGCCACTTAAATTTTAAACCCTCTACAGAAGACAGGGGGGTAAGCAAAACTCTTGAAATATCATTTGATTAACACCAGATTTGGATTTTTTAATTAACAAGTTTTTTCTTAGTATATATAACTAGGTCTATATAAGTCTCTATCAAAAATGGAAATAGTTAATCAGGAGGAAGTAAAGGCTTTAATTTGTGACTGCCTATAGAACACACTTGCTTCAAAAAGCTCTTAAAAGATCATGTAAATTAAACGTTTTATCTCAACTCCAGACTCTCTAAAAAAATTCCAATTTTCTATCCAGAGCAAGAAGCGACTTGAATTGTTGAGAATCTACAGAAGATGCGTGGCAGCAATGACCCTAGAAAAGTAAATCAAATCGCACCAAAAATTGATTTTTGAAATTTCTCTTTTTGGTTGAAAATTTACTTTTTCTTGCGACTCTCTAATAAAATTTGCCAAATTACAGTTTGGAGCAAGTAGCAAGTTAAGTTTTTGAAAGCCTGTCGAAGACACTCGGCCTCAAAAACTCTCATAAGATCATTTAAAAAGCATAAAAATTATTTTGAAAATTGTATATAAGTTGGGGCAAAAATGAACCATCTACCCACTCTCTAATAAAAATCTTCAATTCACAGGCTAAAGCAAGTAGCAACTTGGATTTTTGACATCCTAAAAAATAGTATGTACCAAACCCTCTCAAAAGGTCATTCGAGACGCACTAAATACAGATTTTTGGAAATTTTTGAAAGTGAGTTTAAAAATTAAAGCTTTTTCTCAACTTCAGACTTTCTAAAAAAATAGAATTTCGATTCTAGAGCAAGTGGCGAGTTGAAATGTTGGGAATCTGCTGAAGATACGCGGTACCAAAGACCCTCTAAAGCTCAATCAAGTCGCACCAAATAGAAACTTTTGAAAATTTTGTATTTAAAAACTAACTTTTTCTTGCTACTGCAGACTCGAAGAAATTTGTCAAAATTACATTATAATGCAAGTAGCGAGTTTTATTTTTGACAGTCTGTAGAAGACATTTGGTCTCAAAGACTCTCAAAAGATCATTTGAATCGCATCAAATACTGAGTTTTTCAAAATTTGGTAGATGTTGGATTGAAAATGAACGTTTCTTCCATCTACCTACTATCCAATAAAAACTTCTAATTCGCAATCTAGAACAAGTTCCAATTTGAGTTTTTGCTCTCGGTGCTAACCACTGGAAATATAATTCCAGTAGCCCTAAATATGGAAATTTTTTAAGCGGGTTTAAAAAGTAACGTTTTCCGCAACTTCAGACTCACTAAAAAAAATTAAATCTCCAATCTAGAGCATGTAGTGTCTTAAATTGTTGGGAATCTGTAGTTACGCGGTACCAAAGACTCTTCAAAAGTCATTCGAATAGCACCAATTAAGAATTTTTGAACATTTGTTAATTATCGATTTAAAAACAAACTTTTTCTTGTGACTTCAAACTCTCGAATAAAATTATCCAAATTACATTCTAAAGCAAGTAGGGGATTTTTTTGTGATTTATGACAGCATGTAGAAGTCACCGGGTCTCAAAGACTCTCAAAAGATTATTCGAATTGCACCAAATACTAAATTTTGTAAATTTTCTAAATTATGGTTTGAAACTCAACGCTTTCTCCTATCTGTCATAGCAATTTGAATTTTTTTACTCCCTATAGAAATGTTAAATACTCTCAAAAGATCACTTGAGTCGCACTAAATACGAATTTTTGAAAATTGTTTAAATGTAGTTTGAAAATTAACGTTTTTTCTCAACTGCAGCCTTTCTAAAAAAAACTTCCAATTTACTATCTAGAGCAAGTCGCGACTTGTTGAGAAGCCATAGAAGATAAGCGGCAGCCTATCAAGACCTTACAAAAGTCAATCAAATCGTTCCAAATAAAGATTTTTGAAATTTCTCAAATTTTTCATTTGAAAATTAAATTTTTCTAGTAACTGCAGACTTTCTCATATAATTTGGCAAGTTACAGTTTAAAGCAAGTAGCAAGTTAATTTTTTAACAGCCTCTAGAAGACAATGTCTCAAAGACTCTCATAAGATCATTCAAATAGCATAAAAAACGATTAAACCTTTTTATAAAAGTTGAAGTAGAAATAAACCATCTACCCACTTTCTATTAAAAATTTCCAATTCACAATCTAAAGCAAGTAACAATTTGGATTTTTGACATCCTAAAAAAAACAGTCCATGCTAAACACTCGCAAAGAGTCATTCGATTAGTACTAAATACGGGTTTTTAAAAATATTTTAAAGTGGATTTGAAAACTAACGTTCTTCCTCACCTTTATACTCTGTAAAAAAATTACAATTTTCAATCTGGAGCAAGTAGCGAGTTGAATTGTTGAAAATATGCGGAAGATACGCAACGAGCCTCCAAAATTCAATCGAGTAGCACCAAATAGCAATTTTCGAATTTTTTTAAATTTTCTATTTATAAATAAGCCTTTCTTGCTACTGCAGACTCTTATCCAATTTACATTCTAAAGCAAGTAGCGAGTTGAATTTTTGACAGCCTGTAGAAGACGCTCAATAGATCATTCCAATCGCACTAAATACTGATTTTTGGAAATTTTGTAAACCTTAGTTTGAAAATCAACGTGTTCTCCAATAAGCGCACTGTCCAATAAAAAATTCCAATGCACAATCTAGACTAAGTAGCAATTTGAATTTTTGATTTCCTATAGAAAATACTTGGTGCTGAACAAGCTCAAAATATCATTCGAGTCACATTAAATACAAATTTTTGGAAATTTTTTAAATAGAGTTGAAAAATGAACGTTTTCTCTCAACTCCAGTCTTTCCAATATAATTTCACAATTTTCAATTTAAAGCCAGTGATGAGTTGAAATTTCTCCCGCTAATAGAAAATATGCGGTTCTACCCCCCTCAAGACCCTCAAGTGATCATTTGAGTCGCACCAAATACATAGTTTCGGTAATTTTTTAAAGTTAGGTTGAAAATGAACGATTGCTTAGAACTTTTCTAACCAAAACTTTTCGTCAACTTTCAAACCAATTTCTTATCTGGAGCAAGTAGATAAACATATCTTCAGCAGGCTTATTTTATTGATGATGATGATGATGATGATGATGATAATGCTAAATGGAAAATTATAAAGGAACGAAAACTGGTCAATATATCAGCTAGACAAACATAAAGAAACTGACTAAAGCTGCGTAAAATAGAAACTTGAAGCAACGGTAGACAAGCCAACAATTAGACATTCGATTGACATCCTTTGAGGATGGAAAACTTTGAAGCAAAATATGACACAACAGAAATTGGGTCATTTTTGAAATCTACAGATAACAATCTACCAAAGAGTGACAAAGCGCCGCTTTAAATCAATGCAAAATGGCCTTAATAGGAATCACTTGTTCTCATAACTCTCACGTGGCAAATTATTGATATCAGCTTCCACTTGCAAACACCTTGTAAAGGTACCAACTAGACACCCATATAAGACATTTGGTTCCGATCAAAGTCATTGGATTTTTGAACGTAAATAATGGATAACTATTGGTGGTGCGCAATTTTATTCCGAATTATCCTTCCATTAATCGTAGTTATTGGTGAGTGGTAAACGACGATAATTAACACAGTCAATATACAATATTTTCACTCACTCTCCGGGTTGACATAAATTATTACATTGTGTTCAATTAATTAACGCTATAATTGGACTATTTTCTATACACAACTGTGTCCCTGCACTTAATAGAGCTGCTGGTTCAATTGTCAAATAATTCAGTTAAATTGCAATCTCTGTATGTAATTTACGTGTTCCCAACATAACTAGTTTACACTAACTGGATATAGTATTTCCATGCACTAGATGTTGGTGTTGAAATGATAAATTAAATCACTAAACGTCGTTTAGTCGAGCTGGAAAGGAGCTGAACACATTTTCTTCACGTTGTTTCAGCTGTGTCCATTCGACCAACAGTGACTTCTTATGTGTATTTGCTTGTTGGATGTTACATGCCCTTTTTCTCCGTGCCTACCAGCCACTCATTGGCTCATAGTACTGGAACGTACATGAAGATCCTCATTATCACCTGCACCTTGACGTCGTGTTTTATGCTCAGCTTTTACTTTGTGTTGTATTTTCCCACGGAACCGGAGTTTGACCTGAAGGTGAGTTTTCTCAGGAGATTCATAGCAACATGGGATCCAAAAAAGGTTTGCTCAGCTAAAATGTGTGATTGAAATCACCGTTCTTTTGGCCTTAATTGGATGTAATGATTATTTTTCAAAATGTAGCCTTGTAGTCCATTAGAATCAGCTCTTCGCACAATGGGAGTAGTCGAGTTTGAAGGTTTGGATTTCAGTTCGGCGCTTCCGTGGTGCCTCTCAGGTAAGACGTTAGATTTTCACTCACACATAATTTCAAATATAATTTTTTGAAACCCAGAACCTTTAATGCTGCTGACATCTGTGGTTCTGTTTTTTATCTTTAAGAAGCTTTGTCAAGACACCACAGTCAGTCGAATGACCAAAGACTTGTATGAACTTGCCCAGGCCAAAGAAGAGCATAGGAAGAACATATTGTCAATGCTGATGAATTTCGGTGAGGCTTGCAGAAATAATAATTTTTCTGGTTAGGGCTTACTTCTGCCTTTTCCTCTCTGAAGATGCCTTTTCCTCACTTTAAACCAAAAGGTTACTGCGCTTCGTGACTTTTTCGGCCACAGTAATTCGTTTTACCACGTTTGTTCCAGTTTTTTTTGCTTTGTGAAAATTTGTAGCAACTTTTAAAAATGTTTTTTTTTTCAATATGCATTACACGAAGTCCAGGCTTTACGAAAAGTGTAGCAATAAGCACCTTCATATATGCAAAGCCTCAAAATTGTTTTTTTGAATGAATTTTTCAGAGCTTTGGCCGAAAAGTGAATTCAATTGTTATGAAGATTAAATGTACGCGTTTCCTAATTTTGTCAGCTTTTCAGTATTTTTTAAATACGAAAATGCACAAAGCAATGTTTAAATTTATGAACTCGGCAGCGGAATTTGGTAATTTACCCATTTTGTAGCGTGTGTGAAATCTTTCATACAGGAAAAAATTGAATTTGTTCTCCCCTCGTATTACAATTGGTTCATACGGTGCAACGCACTAATCGCAATAGAAAGCAGGCTGTCTTTGTCTATCCCGTGCTTACCGACTAAGACTGGTTCAACTACTGTTGGAACATATTTATTTCAGCTAAGTTTACAAACTTCTTACTGCTACTTATTCTACGGATCCTTAGTGCTAACATCGTTAGTGTCTAACACTCTGTGTATGTTAAGATACATCATCATATGACTTAATCTAAATTAACCTAACTACCTAATCTAAACCTAAACCTAACAGCCTCTCTTGCTTCCTATAACTAACTTAAAGTTGGCCAATGGTCCTCGATGTGGTGCAGGAACTGGTCATCGCATGGGGTCCACGTCTTCTTCTTAGACTGTGTCCGCAGGGGGAGGTCTGCGGTCACAGTTGAACTTGTTGGTGCAAGAAACCCTGACGGTGGGATCCTTGCTGTGCCGGATCCTATCCAGGAACTCTGACGTTAGGTTCCGGATGTGGTC